ACAGATTTGTGGTGTTGCCCCCCTGTCCCTGCTTCCTTTGGAACTTGGGAGGATTATTTCATTAGCCCGCATGTACACAAGCTGTTCAGACACTGAGTGGGTGAACACAACAGTACAAATGAAAGGAAGAGGAGAGAAGGAAGAAACCCATCATGCTTCTGGAAGTAGTTTTGGAAAGCACAAAGCCAGGATGTTGTTTCTTCTTAGTGACTGTCTGACATGTTGCAAAATATACAAAGGCTTGGCATATTCCCAGCAGCAGAGTGAAAGCTGGAACTACCCAGAAGCGAAACCTATCATTAGCAGTCAGCCAGGCAGAACAGGCTCCTGAGCGTCAGGAACAGGCACGGAAGGAAGGAGGGAGTGAGTAGCGAAAAAGAGCTTCCTTAGGGCCAGCTGTGTGCCCCAGCAGCGTTACGGAGGGAAGCAGGGGGTGGCAAGGGCAGCATGTAGGGCAGGATGCTCTCAGACTTCTTCAAAAGGCAGCAAGGAGCTGCTCTTTCCTCTCAACCCTGCCCATCCTGCAGCATGGGCAACAGGTCTGCTCCCAAAAATCAGAATGGTTTTGACCTGTAATTTTTCTCCCTTTTGTTTTCACTCAATTATACTTAGCTGCCCTGAGAAATCTCTTTTACAAGTCCTCCTGGGTCCTTGCTGTGATCCATGTCATCCTGGAGGCATGTAATAATTTAGAGTGAAAGCTGTGCTGTGCAGCTCTATTCTCAACAGCTTCACAGGATGGAGGAAGTATTGATGTGCCCTGATTTATTTCCCACAGATGTCTTCTCCCTAGGAGCTGACTTGAAGGACAGAAGGGCACAGAAAACTGAATCTGGGAAGCACCTGATTCAAAAAGAAAGGAGGAAATTTTATGAACTGGTTTGGGTGGATGCAGGGAACATTACACCTTTGCAAACCCAATGATCCAAATAGTTAGCGCCATGAACCACGATGTTGCTGTGGCTGGGTGCAAGAGGACAAGCCTTTATTATGATGCCTTTATGTTTCCCAAAGGAATCTCTTCAAAGTTTTTTTTGCACTGATGCTTTAGTTGTCATTCCGCATAAGGCCTAACTGACCTTTGAGGGTGAGAAGCAAGATGAGGAGAGGGTTGCATTTATCACAGTGAATGTTGTGGCTGTGGGTGTCCACACAGCAGGAAGCACAGAGGCACCATCAGGATGTGCCCTAGGGAGCAGCACCCACCACCCAGTCCCGATGCTGAGTGTGTAGCTGTGGAGAACAGGCTGTGGTTGCTGCAGGCATGGCCAGATGGAAAGGCTGAGGGCATTGCTTCCACCATCGCATTCTCTTCTATGGCCTGGGCAGCAAAGAGCAAAACTCCCTATGCCCTTCTAGTGGCACAAGGCAAGATGTATTCAGCCTTTTAAGTCTAGCACCTTGCCTCTTTTTGTTAGGGGACTTTCCTTCCCTCAGCCAGCATAGTCTAAATGGCCTCTGCGAGACAGCAGACAGATGCGTTCCATTTTCAGCCCTTATCTGTCTCACTCTGCTGAGATCATTTACCTGCTAATAAGTTCCTGTGGTCAGAGATAAAAAGTGAAACTACCAGCCCTTTAAAGATGTATCTGAGTGGCTTTGCAACACTGTGCTTAATGGAAAATACGGAAAGATGTTGCATTCATAATATATCACTCATATCTGTGTTTGTAAACAGATTTATCACACCATCTGCAGAATCATACTGCAGTCTCCTCCATATTTATTTCCTTTCCATTTATATAGTACAGCTCCTATTTATTTTATTTCCTTTTTTTATGATTAAATACATTAGCTGTCTTTTTTTCTTCCCTACAAAAAGAGTGCACTCTCTGGGGGAAAGAATATTTAATCAATCCGATTTGTTTAGCTTAGTGCATAAAAATACAAGCCAGTACTGTTTGGAGAAGTACCTGCCTTGGTTTGTTTCTCATCTCTTCACATCTGTACGGAACAGGTGGGGAGGAAAGGATAATTCAGAACAATCTGCTGGTAAACAGGATGCTTCGTCAGTATTTCCTGTCTCCTGTTGCACTGATTGTGCTTAATTTTCAGAAATCAGCTCAGCGTAAGGTCAATAATGCTGTTTTAATCTCTTTGATACATAATGAAGTATTTGTACAACTGGGAGCAAAAAGCCAGCCCACTTTATCTGGTTTGATAAGAAACATTTAGTCATATACAAGTAAAAATAGTGATTTGCTGAGTATAAAAAGAAGTCAACCTGAGAGAGAGGGAGGTTGTGGCTGGCAGCCCCTTGGGTAGACAGCGTGAGCCCTGCCATGAGCCAGGAGAACCATCCTCTTCTAGCAGCCACTCCAGCAGTCTTTCTCACCAGCGGGACCACGAGACTCTGCTGTGAACGCACAGGGCCCAAAATCAGATACTCTGCTTGGTGCATGCTTTCACTTTGTGGAGAGGAAAGAGTCTGGGTTACAGCAGAGCCAAGAGAAGGATGAGTCCCACCCAGTGAGCCAGGGCTTAGCCCCACTGCCAGTGCTTGAGTTTGTGCCCACCCCTCTGCAGAAGTAAAACATCCAGGACAGTTGATTCCTTCTCCCAGCAGAAGGTTGAAGGATGTTATATCTTTGTGGAAGGCACTAGAGAATAGGGCTGGGGAGGATGAGCTGCGCTTCACCCAGGTCAGATGGTCCTCAGCACTGCCCTGTGCTGAAGGTCTGGCCTTGACCCCAGGCACTGGAAGAGGACTGCTGGGCTCAGTGCACAGCATGAGGTGGGATCTGACCACAACTCCTTAGGAGCATCTCTCTAGCCCCATGACTCTCTCTGGTGAGAGGTGTGGGATGCTGCCCAATCACCAGGGCTGTGACCCTGGGGCAGGATACTTTCTCTTCTCTACCTCTGGGGAGGGAGGATTTCTCTCCTCCTTTGCACAGAGCCTAATCCAAATTCCTGGGATCCGGTTCAGAGGAGTGACTGGGAGTGACTAACTCCAACAAGAATTTTACCAAGAGTGAGTAAGTGCTCTGAGCTGCAGACAGTGATGACAAATCTTATAAACTCAAGCCTGTACTTTGGCAGGAGAGTTTGTTGTTTGGGTTTTGGGTTTGCTTTACTTTTTTTCATATAGTCCTTTTTATTACCTTTCAGATGTACAGTGTGCTCTCAGGTAGTATATTTGCAACTTCATCTTTTCCAGTCACGACCATCATTTTTTCAGATAGCAGAACAGTGAACAACTGGGCACTTGGCAGCTGTTTCCCCACTGAAGCAAAGGGAAAGTCTGCGAGACAGTTTTTTCAGAGCTTTCCTTTTAGGATTTTCTGTGACCGTATCGCACTAACTCCACCACCCTTCTGACCCTTACTTAACCCCGGTGCTGTGAGTTTTGAGCTGAATGCCCCTGCCGGAGAGTCCCGCCATTGCCTTTTCCCAGGGGAAATGTTCAAGCTCTCTGGAATACCCCATCCCGTCCCACTTTGCATTTTTCCAAGAGACATGTTTAGGCCTGTAATACAATGCCCACTTCAAATGAGCAAACTTTTTAGCTGTATATTTGCCAAGAGGTGAATGCCAAAATAAGGCTTTTGGTAAGCCAGAAGCCAGGATGCTTTGCTGTGGTGAGGCAGCCAAGACCTTTCTCAAGAGTGCGGTCCCCAGGAAAAATCAGAATGCAGGCTTTAAAAAAACCCAAGATTATTTCCAACCATTGTAAATGGTCCATCCTTTATCTTGGTTTTCTGGCAAATAAAACCTTTCAAAGATTTCTCAGAAGGGGGGGGTTGTTGCTCTTTGCTCTTTTCACTACACACTGCAGAGCTGGAAACCCATTGTGCTTGAACTGGTAAGGGAAAGCAAAACTCTCCTATAATCCCTTCAATCCCCCAAGTGCTGAGCTTTGTGGGCCAATTGGCCTCCAGGTTATTTTGAGCCCCATGCGTGCTCACCAGCCCAGGGAAGCCAAGGACCCTGTGGCGTGGCAGGGAGGGGAGGTAGCATTAGCGGTTGGCTTTGGGTTCAGCCGGTT